GCACGCTGTCCCCCTGCGAGGGCCTCGCCGGTGCACGCTGTCACCCTGCCGGGGCCTCTTGGGTGCTCGGCGCACGCCATCCCAACGGTGGGGGACAGCGTGCAACACAGCGGGGGCCCCTGCCACGCAGCACCCGGCTTGCCTCCAGGGTGCCCCCGGTTTCTCGGGTTGCTTCGCTGGCTTCGCGATGGGGAGCGCGACGGTCCCGCACCCAGACATCCGTGGGCATCCTGGGGCCTCGGCTCAGGGTTGGGCTTCTTGTGGAAGCTTTCCTGTGGACTAGAGAAGGAGGAGGAGGAGGAGGAGGAGGAGGAGGAGGGGAGGAGGAGGATGGAGGAGGAGGAGGAGGAGGAGGAGGAGGAGGATGGAGGAGGAGGAGGTGGAGAGGAGGAGGCGGAGGGAGGACGGAGGGAGGAGGAGGAGGAGGAGGAGGACGAGCAGGAGGAGGAGGATGAGGAGGACGAGGAGAGTAGCCTCCACTGAAGCAGTCCGGCGGCGCCACATCGCACGCCATCTTTGCGACGCCGGCCGTGAGAGGTGGGCCCTGGTACCGCACGCGGCGGCTTCTGGGGAGGACGAGGAGGAGGAGGAGGAGGCGGAGGAGGAGGATGGAGGAGGAGGATGGAGGAGGAGGAGCAGGAGGAGGAGAAGGAGGAGGAGAAGGAGGAGGAGGAGGAGGAGGAGGAGGTAGGGGGTAGTATAATTCAACGAAGTGTCCAGGGATAGCCCAGTTCATAACAAGATCTGCCCTCCACCAGGGTAGTTGCACCATGTTATCAAAGTTCGGGGCGTCAGTGTGCGGGAGTCTCACGCGACAGCCTCCTTTTCCATCCGTGCGTCGGTTGTTTCACTTGGGGAATCTCGTCGTCCAATGTGAGGAAGTCTCCAGTGGTAACCTCACTCAGGAGACCAGCCGGTCTCCGTCCTTGGGATTGTTGCTGTACATGCTGAAACGGACATGCGCGGCGCTAAGATTTGAGCCGCATTTTGAAATCGGTCGGTCCTCCGTCTTTGTGATTTTTGGAAGCTTCGAAACGAGTGTGCTCCGCACTAAGACGAGAGCCGCAATTTAGTAACCACCAGCCTCCATTATGATAATTGTCGAAGTCGTTTACCTTCAAGATTTAAAGGTGTCAGGACATGTCATACGAAACACCCGGCCTAGCCTACGGACGCGTCTGGCGGTGCGACAGGGAGGGGGGGGCGGGGAGGAGGAGACGGAGGAGACGGAGGAGATGGAGGAGGAGGAGGAGGAGGAGGAGGAGGAGGTGGAGGAGGAGGAGGAGGAGGAGGACATGAAGGTGGATATGGTTTGCGGGGAGGAAACAACTGGGACGGGCCGTAGGCGGGCAACGGGGGGCGGGGGTGGAGGAGCATCGGGCGGAGGAAGTGGGGGAGTGGGCTGGATGGAGAAGAGCAGGGCAGGAGGAGGGAGGAAGAGGAGGAGGAGGAGGAGGCGGACGGAGGAGGAGGAGGGGGAGGAGGAGGAGGAGGAGGAGGTGTGCGGACTTTTGTGTTTGTGTATGTGTTTGTGTGTGTGTGTGTGTGTGTGTGTGTGTGTTGTGTGTGTGAGTGTCGTGTGTGTGTTGTGTGTATTTAATATTGTGTCCCTGCGTGCGTAGCGTGGTGTGTGTGCGTGCGTGCGTGTGTGTGTTTCCTGTGTGTGTGTGTGTGTGTGTGTGTGTGTGTTTTGTTTGTGTGTGTGTTTAAATTTTGTGTGTGTGTGTGTGTCTGAGTGTGTGTGTGTGTGGTGTGTGTGTGTGTGTGTGTGAGTGTGTGTGTTGTGTGTGGGGGGGGGCGACGGGTGAGTGGCACGGGGAGTCGGCGACGGCGGGGGGAGGCAGGGGCGGGGAAGCAGGGAGGCCACGGAGGGGAGGGCGTGGGGGGGGCGTACTGGGAGGCTTGGTTTAGTTTTTTGTTTTGTATTCTTGTGTTTTTTTGTTGTTCTTTTTCTGTCTTTTTTAATTTTTCTTTTTTGTTTTTTCTGTTTTTTGTTTTTTCGGGGCGTCGGAGGTCGATGGGGGAGAGGGGCGAGGGCGAGGTGGAGGGGGGGGGATGCGAGCGAGGGGGGGGAGAAGGCTACGGCGAGAGGACATCACGAGGGGGATCGCCCACCTCCTCTTCCTCTCCTGCTGCTGCTGCTCCTCCGCCTCCTCCCTCCCACCATTCCTCCCTCATTCTACGCCTCTTCCTCCTCTTCTCCCTTCTCGCCGTCTCTCATCCCTTCTTCTTCTCCTTCTCCTCCTCCTCTTTCTGTTTCTCCTCCTCCTCCTCCTCCTCTTTCTTCTCCTCCTCCTTCTCCTGCCCTCCTCCTCCTCCTTGTCCTCCTCCTCCTCACCTCCTTGTCTCCTCCTCTCCTCCTTCTCCTCCTCCTCTCTCCTACACCTCCACTCTATTCAGCCTTCGACCTCGTCCTTCTCTTCTTCCTCCTCATCGTTCAGCCTCCCTGCTGCCTCCCTCATCCCTCTCCCCCGTGCTCCTGGTCCCATGTCCGCATTCTCCATCTCTGTTAGTCATCCTCCTTATTTTTCCTCTTCCTCTTCATACCTCCTCCTCCTCCTCTCTTGCATATTGCCGTTTCCATCGTTCCTCCTCACCCTGCTTCCGTCGCCTCCTCTGCTCCCCCCCCATTCTCCTCCTCCTCCTCCTCCTCCTCTTCCTCCTCCTCCTCCTCCTCCTCCTCCTTTCCTCACCCTCCGAAATCCTCTCGTCCCCTCCTCTCTCCGATCGTCCCTGGAGGCAAGTGTAGAACATATCAGACAAGGTGCATCCCCATGGTCCTCTTCGTCTTCCGTCCTCGTCCTCATCCTCCCTCCCCCCCTCCCCCCCTTCCCCTCCTCCCTCCTCCGATGGCATCTGCCGCGGCGGCAGCGCGATGAAGGCGACGACGACGACAGCGCCAGCGACGGCTGCGGCGGCGGCGACGCCAGCGGCGGCGGCGACGCCGGCGGCGGCGGCGGCGGAGACGGCGGCGACGGCGACGACTGCGGCGGCGGCGGCGACGGCACCGACGGCGGCGGCGACGGCGGCGACGACGACGACGGGGCGGGCGACGGCGGCGACGGCGACGGCGGCGACGGCGGACGACGGTCCGGCGGCGGCGGCGGCGGCGGCGGGCCACGGCGGCGGCGGGGCGCCGGCAGGGTCTGCCGGCACGCTGGACTTGGCCAGGCCTTTGTTGTTTTTCTTGTTGGTTTGCTGTGGGTTTTTTACTTTTAGGATGGAGTAATGGATTTTTTTGTTTATGTTTTGTTTTTTTTTGGGCGCTGGCTCCGCGCGGGGAGCCCGGCGTTCCGGGCGGGGGCGGGGGTGGGAATGGCTTGCCCGTTCTTTCGGGTTTGCTAGAATTGCCCTGGCCCAAGGTGAAAGGGTGCCCCCAGCTTTTCGCTCCGTTTTGAAGCCACTGGGGCCCTCTGGGCCTCGTGAGGGGTGCTCTGGAGGCCGTCTGGGCCCCCCCAGAGGGCCCCAGTGGCTTCAAAACGGAGCGAAAAGCTGGGGGCACCTTGGGCCAGGGGCACCTCTAGCAACACCCGAGTCTTCGCCGTCGCCGACGGCTGTTCTTGACTTTTGATTGGTCGGGCATGTCTTGGCTCAGTCGCGGCGCTGAAGACGGAGCCCTTTTCGTTTGGGAGGGGCTCGGTGCTCCTTAGCTGTTTTGCAGTTCGCCCTAGGGTGCTCTTAGGTTTCCGATGGGAATTCGAAATTGAACTCATTCAGGAGGGGAACAAACACACAGACACAATGAATCGTCCACCCCCAGGAAAATATGAGGAAAATATGGGAAGTGGGGGGAAGACAAAAACCCAGAAAATATGAGAAAATATGGGGAATCCTGTTATTTGTGTGTATTCATTTGTGTGTCCTGGGGCCCCTTCACTCATTGAACAAGGGAGCCCTGTTCCTTCTTTGGGGTTCCTTAGGCCAAGGCCCCGACTGCAGCGTGGCGCGGCGGCGGTCCCGTCGACACGCTGCGTGCCCTGCAGGCGGGCAGCGTGTCGCTCGGCTCCGCGGGCGGGAGGCCCGGAAGGAGAAGCTCGGGGGACGTCGTTGGCGCTGGAGGGTCAGGAAGTGGACGGCGTGTTGCACCGAAGCGTGGTGTGAAGTCGGGCCCGTGCCTCTGCAGGAGGAGTATTCAAAGATAGTCCAAAACATAGTCTAGGGACGATGTTGTGACCATGTTGGAATAGGTTTGGGGAATTTCTTATTTTTCGTCCAAAATCCCCCTGCAGAGGGACAGGCCCGACCTAAGCGAGGTGGGCTAGAACCCGCGGAGCGACACGCTAAACAACAGCTTTTTACCGTTCCAACGGCGCTCGAGCGTCTCCAGTGGTCTTCTGTGATTTTTCGAGGTTCTGCCCTCCGAAGGTGTTCCCCTGTCTCTGGAGGTTCTAAGGGCTCTGTGAGATTCTCGGGTTCTCGAAATCGCCCCTGCCGCCGCCTTCGTCGTCGTCGTCGTCGCCGGCGCCGCAAACGCCAGTGTCGCAAGCGCCAGTGTCCTCGTCGGCGTAGGCGTCGTCGAGGTCGTCGTCGCCGTCGTTGCAACTGCCGCCAGCGTCGTCTGCATCGCCTTCGTTGTCGTCGTTCGAGGTTCGATGATCAGGGATCGAGGATCGAGGATCGAGGATCCAGGGAGTCCGCCTTGATTCCGGGGTTGCCGTCGTCGCTGTTGCATACCAGCCGCGACTGTCGGACTGAGCGTCCTGACAACCCCCCAGGGGGACCCATCGGATTCGACGTTCCCTTCGCGAGATCATCGACAAACGATGGCCTCGACTACAGGATCCGGCTTGAATAAGGAACATTTACTTTTCAAAAGGGGCTTGTCTTTCCTTTGGTTTGCATGCGTTCCGCCACCTTCTTGTCGGCGAGCTCCCCTGGTGTTCCCTCAGATTTGGGACGCGTGGGTCCGTTCCTTCGGACTCCGTAGACTTACTTGGAGAAAACAAAGGGGCTTCGTTCCTTACGCATCGTTCCTTTAGGTCAGGCCGCATCCTGTAGGGATGCCTACGAGGAACACGTCTCCCTCGCCGCCGCCTCGCCGTCGCCGTCGCCAGGCGTCCGCCTCACGGCGCCCCGCACCCCGAGCGGGTCGTCCACGGAGGGTCTCCAAGGCCACGTGCCACAGGCACCTCCTTGGGCGCTTGCCGCGAGCCTTCGGGCCTTCGGGTCGTGGTGGTTCAGGCGGCGAGGGGGCCCCGTGGGGAGGAGGAGGAAGGAGGAGGAGGAGGAGGAGGAGGAGGAGGAGGAGGAGGAGGGGGGAGGAGGAGGAGGAGGAGGACGAGGAGGAGGAGGAGGAGGAGGAGGACGAGGAGGAGGAGGAGGAGAGGAGGGTCCAAGGAGGACGAGGAGGAGGAGGAGAGGCGGAGGAGGAGGAGGAGGAGGAGGAGGGGGAGGAGGAGGAGGAGGAGGAGGAGGAGGAGGAGGAGGAGGTGGGGCAGGAGGAGGTGTGTGGGGGGGGAAGGCGCGATGGCCTCGGGGATCCTCCCCCTTCTCGCCCCCAAACTGTTCCCTTCCTCCTGCCCCTGCCCTCGTGCCTCCCCTCTCTCGTGCGTCCTCCCTGCACGGCTCCCTGCCTCCTGGCTCCTGCTCTCCCGCTTTCCTTCCTCCCTCTCTTTTTCCCCTTGCTCCCTCCCTCCCCCCCCCCTCGTTAGTGCTGGCGCAGTGTAGCGTCTTTCCCCGTCGTCGTCCTCCTCCCCATTCTCTCCGCTTCTCCCATCCCGCTCCCTCGCTCCCCCGCTTCCATCCATGCTCCCGCCCCTCCCGCCTCTCCGAGGAGCTTGCTCGGTGAGGAGACGTCGCAGTGCCTCAGCAAGTACGGCGTGAGGCGGCTGCGGCGGCCAGAAGCGTGGTTCTCCTCCCCAGTCTCCCCCTCTCCGCCAATCCTTGCCCTCTCTGGCCACTGTGGCTCCAGGACGCCGCACCGCCAGGGGAGTTACGCCGAACATCTGAAACAGCCGGGACTTCCTCTCCCCGGTCCTCCTCCCAAAAACCGATTCTGGAAGGTCACTCGCACCGTCTTCGGAGCGGTCGTCCAGGGGGCCCTACTTCCAGGATTTGCGACGTCGGTGTTGTTGAAGGCTCACGAGCTGCGTCTCGACCGCGTGCTCCTCGGCTTCGCTCGCACACCGCTAGGAGGACATGCGTGCTCGAAGGTGGAGGAGCAGGATGAGGAGGGCACCCCGGTTCTCGACCAACACGGGAAAGCTGCCGTTCGATATCGTGTTCTCACCGATGTCGCGGTCTTTCGTCGAGGCGGAGTCGCTTCTACAGGAGTGGAGTTTCGTTTGCGCATATTGAGGCAGTGCCAGCATAGGATTCGACACCATGACTAGCACCCGCAGGAGATAGGAACGATCTGTGGGAAGTTGCCGACATAGTGACATCCCACGTTGTGCGAGCAAGGTCTGTTAGATGAGAGTGCGAACCCATATGCCAAACGCTTCGCGTCCGACGTCCTGAATCTGGCGCCGGAGGCTGAGACTGAGATGCTCGTTCCTGGTTCGTCACGGGCCCCGCGTCGGACCCCTCCCTGGGGCAGTGTGTGCGGGCCCTCTTCATGGACCAGGATCTTCGGGAGCAGTTCCTGGCCTTGGATCCTGGGATACTGAGGGCGGCTACGAAGACCGAGTCTGCTCCACCTCGTGCAGGCTTGTACGGCCGTCCGCCGGATCCTCCAGTGGCTCCTGAAGGTGATCTCGAAGTTTCCCCACCACCTGCGTCGATTTGGCATTGCAATTTGCCGAACTCGGGCGAGACGGTCTGCGGAATAATCTTTGTTAATAGGCGTGCGTTGCTGGCCCATCATCAGTCCTCTAAAGGTGGAGGGCTCCCTCGTCGTGCATCATCCACACGGTTATTGTGACTAGCGGGTGTATCTTTTGTTGTCAGAGTTTTCGAATCCGATGTATCGCGCAAGAGCAGGCGGTCCAGAATGGTCGATGTCCCCCACGTGCCACGCCCTTCAATCACCTCGTCCTGGAGCCTGATAGCCGATAGCCTTCTGTCCCTTCGCCGATCTTACAACAGCCATTATCTTTGGAGGACAGACGATAGGTGCACACGAGTTCTGCTGTAATCATTCGGAGCCGTTTGGGAATCGAGCTGAGCTTAGCCGCCACCTTCGACGGCACCCACCTCGAGCACCTCTTACTCCTCTGGGCTCAGCTGCATCGCCTGGGGGCCGAGCGGCTCGGCGCGGCGGCCACCCGTTCTATAGGTCGCACGCATGCGGACAAGGCGGTTCCAGGGGCCGGCCTGGCTCGGCAGCCGCTTCCCGCGCGCGCGGTTGTCAGCGCAGGCCCCCACCTCCCCTCTCCGCCGCCTTCTGAAACAATCCACGCGGGGCCGAAGCGGCGTGCAGGCGAGCTTCGCACTGCACGACGTCCAGGGCTCCTCCGGGGCCTCGCCAGGCCCCTCCCCCCCTTGCCCTTCCATGTGCAAGAGTAGCCTTGTCCGAGCCTGAAAAACGGCCTTGGGAGATCTGGGGAGGTCTGGGTTTCCAGGGTTCGGATAGGGGATATCGACTACAGATTCGATTTGCCCCAAAACTGATTTTCGCTTCGAGTTTGCGAAACAGTACGTAGAGTTTTCGTGGATCTACGGGTCATTCGACGGGGCTTTCGTTGGCTCGACGAACAACAGTCAAGCTTGGGGGTACATCGATCCTGCAAGGCGACCTCCGACTCCAAGGGCTCTCCTCCCCCGCGGCCCGCCGCCCGATGGGCGCCTGCCCCCGCATGAGGCTGCCCTGGGGCACCGCCAGGGGCGTGGCGGCCGCAGTCGTCGCGAGGCTCGCGGAGGCGGCGCGCACCGAGCGGCCCCCGGGGGGGGGCCCCCGGAGGGCTTTGACGACTCTTCGCCAGTCGTCAAAGCCCGTCGTTTTCGTGTGCATTGCTGTGCGTGGCACTGCTTGCACTGCTTTGCGTGGCACCCGGGTGCTCGTTTTCGTAGGCATTACTTTGCCGACCCGCGCGGGCCCTCGCCCCCCCCCCGCCGTGGAGCGGGTCTTGGCTGCTTTTGGGCGCCAGCTTCGAGCAGTCGGAGTCTCCCCCCTGGGACGCGCGGTTGCAAACAGTCGCATTGAGCAGAGGTCCGGAGCCAGATCCCCCCTCCCCCTCCCCCCCCCCGCCCCATGCCGAAACGCCGAATACGAAAACGTTCACTAGATGGGGTCGGAGTGGTACTTTGGGTCGGAGGATCGCGCCGCATTGCTGACGCATCGGCGATGCGTCTCGATGCGGAGCCCGAGTATCTGCACGTCGACGTCGCCGATGCATCGTCCACGCCGACGATGCACCGCCCGTGCATCGCCGATGCATCGGCGATGCGGCGCGATCGTCCGACCGCATCTACTCCGACCCCATCTGGGAGGTTCTAGCCAATCGACTTGTGGGGATCCGGCGGGCTAAATCAAGGCAGGCGCATACACATCGAGGCAGATCTATGGCACATCCCAGGAATTCCAGGGATCTTCAGGTCAGGGCCGCTCCACCGAACAAGCCGAGGGACGGCAGATGTCGTCAATCGGCGTCACGCCAACATACTTATACTATGTGTGCGTCGCCCCCCGATGAGTGACGCGCGCACCGAGAATTCTTTTAGTATATGCGTAGTGGCGGGCGCTTTCTGGCCACACCGCTCGGGAAATGGTATACTACAAGATGGGTATACTATATGTTCGGGTCGGACGCGCGCCTCCAAGGATGACATATAGTAGTAGAATGTCCCTGCGCGTCCCAGTCAACCCCCATCAGCGAGGGGGGTTCGGCAGGCTTCCCTCGGCTACGGGGTCGCGTCGGTCGCCAGCGGCGCACATCTCCGTAGTCGCGCCCTCGTGGTCTGGGTTCTGGGGCGCGATCCCGCGACAAAGCGGTCGCACGGATGCGTGACAGTTGAGACCCATGCCAATAAACACCTTGCTTGCCTCCAGGGTGGCCTGTTTTTTTTCCCCCACATCCAAAGTGGGGTTCTTGTTTTCTCTGCACACCCCGCGCAGGAACACTCACCCCACCCCCTCTCCTCTTCTGCCTTCGCACACTCACTCACTCACTCATCATCATCACCACTCACTCACACTCACACTCACTCACACTCTCTCGTCATCAACATCAGCACCATCACTCGCGCTCTCTCTCACGCTCAGTCACTCACATACTCATCATCATCATCGTCATGATCATCATCATCACTCGCACTCTGTCACGCGCTCACTCATTCACATACTCACCTGGAGGAAGTCTCAGGCGGGAGCTTCGTCTGTGAGTGAATTGTGAGGAAGTCTCAGGCGGGAGCCCCCTCCCTATTGGGGCCCGCGATACCCGCCCACTTCATGTTCGATTCGAGCGGGTCATCCGCAAGGTTGCAACTGTCGTCATTTCTGGGCTCTTGGAGACACTGAATATGGAGGATAGTCTCGCGCGGGCCTCGTCTGTTGAGTGACTTGTGAGGAAGTCTCAGCGGGCGCCCCTTCACTGTGGGGGCGCACTTTCCTGTTCGGAATTCCAAGGGTCATCCGCAGTGTACCTGTCGTCACTTTTGGGCTCTTGAGACCTGAATGGTTGGAGTATCAGGCGGGAGCTGGTCTGTGAGTTGAATTGTGAGGAAGTCTCAGCGGGATGCCCTCCCTATGGGGCCCGCGCTTCATGTTTGAATCCGAGCGGGTCATCCGCAACGTGCAACTGTCGTCACTTTTGGGCTCTTGAGACCTGAATATGGAGGATGTCTCGAGCGGGAGCCTCGTCTGTGAGTGAATTGCGAGGAAGTCTCAGGCGGGAGCCCCCTCCCTATGGGGCCCGCACTTCATGTTCGAATCCGAGCGGGTCATCCGCAACGTGCAACTGTCGTCACTTTTGGGCTCTTGAGACTTGAATATGGTGGAAGTCTCGAGCGGGAGCCTTGACTGTGAGTGGAGTGCGAGGAAGTCTCAGGCGGGAGCCCCCTCCCTATGGGGCCCGCACTTCATGTTCGAATCCGAGCGGGTCATCCGCAACGTGCAATTGTCATCACTTTTGGGCTCTTGAGGCCTGAATATGGAGGAGGTATCAGGCGGGAGCCTGGTCTGTGAGTGAATTGTGAGGAAGTCTCAGGCGGGAGCCCCCTCCCTATGGGGCCCGCGCTTCATGTTCGAATCCGAGCGGGTCATCCGCAACGTGTAACTGTCGTCACTTTTGGGCACTTGAGACCTGAATATGGAGGAAGTCTCGAGCGGGAGCCTCGTCTGTGAGTGAATTGCGAGGAAGTCTCAGGCGGGAACCCCCTCCCTATGGGGCCCGCGCTTCATGTTACTAATCCGAGCGGGTCATCCGCAACGTGTAACTGTCGTCGTTTGTGGGCTCTTGAGACCTGAATATGGAGGAAGTCTCGAGCGGGAGCCTCGTCTGTGAGTGAATTGCGAGGAAGTCTCAGGCGGGAGCCCCCTCCCTATGGGGCCCGCACTTCATGTTCGAATCCGAGCGGGTCATCCGCAACGTGCAACTGTCCTCACTTTTGGGCTCTTGAGACCTGAATATGGAGGAAGTCTCGAGCGAGAGTTCCTGGAGCGCGGGCCGCCAGCGTCCCTGCGGAAGGCGCCCGAGGAGTTCGACAAGAGAGCGGTGGACTCCAGGGCTGAGGCGGAGCAGCTCGCGGCAGAGCTGGGCTTCATGCTGCCCCCCGCCTGAGCGCCGCGGCGCGCGCCTGGAGGCCCGCGGGATTGTCCCAACGGCTAGCTCCCACGCCCCAGCGGCCTGCGAGGTTGTCTCAACGGCCCAGCCCGAAGGTTTGTCCCGACGGCTTCGCGATCTAGCCGTCGGCAGACGCGCGCGCGCGCTGGCCGAGGCGGCGACGGCGCTGAGGAAAATGGATTTGCTTGCCCCGACGAGGGGGAAAGGGGGGTGCACGGGGAGAAAAGGCAGGGGGATGAGGAGGGAAGGGGCATGGGGGAGGCCGACGACGAGGAGGAGGTGGCGCGATGAGGAGGAGGAGGAGGAGGAGGCGGAGGGAGGTGGAGAGGAGGAGGGAGGGGAGGAGGAGGGGAGGAGGGGAGGCGGAGGAGGAGGGGAGGAGGAGGGGAGGAGGAGGAGGGGAGGAGGAGGAGAAGAGAGGAGGAGAAAAAGGAGGAGGAAAATAAATAAAAGGGGGAAGAGAGGGCAATGCAGGGGGCGAGAGGAGAGGGTGTCCGCCAGGAGGAGGAGGAGGAAAGGGCAAAAGGTAAGCTAAACAGATTCTTATGTGGGGTCCTACCGTCGGAGTATTTTTTGTTGTTGTTGTTGTTGTTGGTTTTTTGGGGTTTCGATGGTTTTGCCATAGAAAGCGCGACGTTCCTCCCACACCAAAAATCGATGGACGTCCTGGTGTCTCAGGGCTGGGTTTCTTCAGGAAGGTTTCTCGTTGCCGGGCCCCTACTGTAGTCGCGCCCTCGAGATCTGGATTCTGGGGCGCGATCCCGCGGCAACGCGGTCGCACGGATGCGCGACGCGCGGGGCATCCGCGAGCAAAAAACACGCTCCGTATCCGCGGGGTCGCGGCCCAGGGGCCCGGTCCGCCAGGCCGCGGATATTTTTCGCCCACTGGTCGTGTCGGCGCGGCTGCGACCCAAGCGTGGGCGTTCAGGGTTGAGCGCCGCCAGAGTACCAGAATCGGCCAAGGAGCGATCTGGCGATCAAGTAGCAGATCGTTGCAGGCGGAACGATCCGTGCGGTGTCAGGAACCGACGCCGGGCCTGGGCGGGGGCAGCGTGAGGGGGGATGGGCTCAGGGGATCGAGTCCCGAGGTTGAAGGCTCGCTTTCAGGAGTTCGTTTTGACGCGCCAGCGTGGCCACGAATGGACACGCCTCGAACTGTAGTCCGACCGCACCTCAGCAGAGGTCCAGGGCAGATGTTTTGGTTCCTGATCTGGGGCAGCGTTGGGAGGGGGGCGCGACAGAGTGACCCTTCGCTAGAGTGACCTTTGGTTCGGGCCCGCTGGGCCCCCCCGATCGCTGGACGCTTTTTGACAGCAGGGATTCGCGCGCTTCGGTCTGGTCCCCTCCTGCGCCCTCCATGAAAGCCGCGCACCCAAGGTCGCTCTTGCCTGCGGTCACTCTTTCGTGTAGCTCATTTCTCTCAGCGGCAACTTTAGGGGGGAACAGGCACACGGGGCACGCATCGAACACCGAATGGCCCGTTCATGGCCGACGTGGGCCCAACAGCCCACCCCGCCCAGGACCTGTCAGATTCGTTATCGGGGGCCTGTCGCCGATCTATCGGCGATGCATCGCAGATTCGAGCTTGATGTCCCCCCCCCCCTGAGCTGGTCCATTCCTTTCGTTCACCGTCAAAACCCCTGTCCAGGGGTAGGTTTCTATCCCCTGTCTTTCTGTCAGTGGTTCAGAGTTCCTAGAGAGGGCACCCACGAGGCCGAAGGCGAACAAGAGCCTTCCGTCTTTTTACTTTTTGACGGAGCGAGGGATTTTGAGTCCCCCTCCCCCTTCCCACGCTCTCCTTCCTCCCCCCCTCCTCTCCGCACTTGTTGTGCCCTGCCT